GTAGTGGTTTGATCTCGATGCTAGGTTGGATGTTGCGGACCTATGTTGGGAGTCCCGAACCGAAAAGGAAGTGGTTTGTCCGACATATACCGCCGAAGTGTATCGATAGGGGCCATACGTTCGATCAACTTCGTCATAGAGTCTGATGTACAAGCCTGGGTTCTTTGGATATTGCTCATCCACCTGACGCAAATTTCCCAGACTCATGAGGTCGAACTGGCCTGTAGACATGATTGCCTTGGCGTCGTTTATAATACCTGGAGTCGAGAGTTAGCGCATAAATTATGGATATAGATTGGTGAAACCAACAGGCATGAACAATGTCCGCATATCTCCCAGCTTGAGGATGAAAAAGGATTTTCTCATTCGCAACAGAAAGAGATGGGATGGCGTCTTTGATCGCCTGTTTGTTGTCCTGGATGGTCTGCCAAAGGCAACGAAGAGTTCGCAAAAGCACTGTTGCTGGAGCCATCCAGTTAGATGCCGTGGAGAACGGGGACGTCTGCCTCTGAAACGGCAGTTCGACTGGGAGAGGAGTTACCTGCCTATCCCCTTTTGTCAAATGAGACGCGGGAACCCAACCTATTCGGATCATTGTAAGTGATGGTCAAGCATCATGGATCGTGCCCATACCTTGGCGTAGTTGTACTCCCATGAGAAGAGTAGCTGACACATAGCCGCTGTGAAATTGATAAGCGAAGATTCGATCGCCTCGCTGAACTGCCAAACCTGGCCTGGGAACTCCAGGAGGGTAAGAATGAGGAGCGGGGGGAGACCAATTCTCATTGACCACGCACGCCCACCCTCTTACTTCTGCCTTGGTGGTAATACTGTTCTGAGACATAAGACGAAGAAGTAGAATGGAATAAGGGTGCAGGAAGTGAAGGCTTGTGAGCATAAGATGGAAGGAAGAGAAATCTCGGAGAAGATGCGGAGGATTTTATACCTGAACTGTAGTCTGGGATTCAGTGATGTTGCTTTGCTCCATTGCTGAATCACATATGATCAGCGAGCAGTTTGACCAGCATTAACTTGATGAATGGGGAAAATACAGGCGAAGATTGTGTTACTTCTAGTGATTGACTGTTGGGTCATGTTTGCGTAGGCAACCGTATGTGAGTATTGTGTTGCTCGTGATTGCTTGCTTGCCTAGGTTTGTTTACAACGCCTTGATTGCTGTAGGGAAACCTAGGCAAGGATTGTGTTGCTTCTAGTGACTGACGGTTGTCGTGTCTGGGTCAACTTGCTTGCTTGCTTGAATACTAGCGAAGATTGCATGTGAGCATCAATTTACACCCAGTGGCATGTTGTCTAAATGGATTTCGGTAGTGACGAGCCGACTGCAGCGACACCGGCTGAACTATCATCGATGCTGTTCTTCAAGTTGCTTTTCTCAATTGACCCTTATTGCTAAAGTTCATGGCCGATGAAATTCCAGTCTCACATTAAACATCAGAGATGTCTAGCCTTTCGTTTTTCTTCCTACTAGGTGTAAGTCCTGGGGAGGCCTTTGGTTATCACCCGGCATCAGTAGGTACATAGTACTCTACGTGCAGGGAACTCCACGTTAGTACTTAGGTACCTACCTCGGTAGGTAGGTATCACAATGCGACAAAAGCAATCATACTATTCGCACAACATCAGATTGCTAGTCGCATAACATACGTGGCCTTTCCATATCTTTCCACCCCGCATTTCTCAATAGACCCTCCTTCGCACCCAGATTACTATGGGCAGCAGAGACTACAATGAACGCATTGCGCGTGCACACAGCACAAAGTCTAAGAAGCCCAAAAATTGCAGTTCCGTTAATTGAGTGAAAGAGACCACGCTCAACCCCAAGCAAACACCATCCCAGCAAGAACAACGAACCCATCATGAAGACTCCCATGCAAAACTCTGTCATAGTAGAGGGACAAACTCCCGAAGCACCATCAAACAAGCAGAGCTCCCACCAGCACCGTCGGAGTAAGTCGAGGCCTGTTTATATAAGACACCATAAATAAAGCACTTCAATGAACTCTCTCGAAGTGGAGGCGAAGCCTGCCAGGAGCATCTTTGAAGGAAACGCGATGCCTCCTTAAGGAACGACTTCGAAGTAGAGCCAGCCTGGCTCAGGAGCCGGTCGCTGCTAAGAAGCCGGTCGAAGTGAAGGCGATACCGTTGCTAGGAATGGCATTATTTCCTCCTCCGCACTTCAGGGGTGGTGCAGCGGCGTTGTCACCGGCGGCGGCGTCGTCATCACCAGCGGCAGCATCACCGCCGGCAGCAGCACCATCCTAGCCATCAAGAACCGCATTATCTCCGTTCGCGTCCACAGCCGTGAATCTGGCGAACCCCCTGGGTAATTACCACCTCGGCCTGGGATAGGCCCTTAGCATCGAAGGGAGTCTGGACCGAAGTGGCAGAATTGGCGTTCTCTACGTCCGAACCGTCCATCGCAGGGTCGACAAGGGGCACGATGCCGTGAGGCCTCTCCAAGGAGCGACGCGGAAGTGGAGGCGAAGCCTGGCCAGGGACAGTTGAAGTAGAGGTCAAGCCAGCCTGGCTCAGGAACATCGATCGAAATGGAGGCGAAGCCTGGAGGTTAAGCCAACCTGGTTCAGGAATACAGGTACAAGTGGAGGCGAAGCCTCTCGAAGGAGCGAAGTTGAAGTGGAGGCAAAGCCAACCTGGCTAAGGAAGCAGTCGAAGGAGCGTTGCCGAAGTAAAGGTGAAGCCGGCTAGGAGCGCCATTGAAGCAAACGCGGGTCGGCTGCTAATATGATGAGCAGGTCCACGAAAGCATGAGAAGGTTGTATTAGGGTTATCAGTCAGTACTCAGACTTCTTCATTTATGTGCGAAGTTATGCTTAGGATAAGGTCAGGGTCGTCATATAACTTAGGTATATGGACTTAGGAACATAAAGCCTAAAGGGTAGGCAGAGTCTAGGTAAGGTACGCTTACATACAAAAGGACGGGACGAGTATGCACCAACGGGTCGCGATTTGCACAGCAGTCACAGTAGAGATTCACTGTCGCAATATGTTCATTATTCTACTAAGCATGCCATCTGTAACACGGTTCGGGTTCTTACTGGCTGCTGCGGATCCATGTGGCCTGGGTCATGACATCGCATCGTTGGTTTTGGCTGTCTTTCTTATCTTGGCGAATACTCATTGCCGTGTGGGCAGAAAGGTTCCTAGGATGAATGGTCAGCATAATTGTCTAAGTGGAAGTACCGAAAGCCACAGGGCAAACGGAGCCAAAGTTCGAACGCCTACCCAACGAAGAAACGAACAGACTCCAAAGGATCGTGACGGAAGTCGCAACGGATTTGCTGTTCCACATACTGTCTGCAGCGAAGTCTCAGATCCATTGCATATGATTGGATCTTGACGTCTGACCTGCCTCGCCTGTGGTTCCTGAGTTGGAATCTAAGCTGTGGCGAAACTTCAATGTGGGTCTACCAACTTACACGAGTTCGTTGTTGGTTCGTTTGTTGGCTACAAAGCCATTGTTGGATGAAGCTACCAATGGAATTCACGTTAGCCATGCTCATACAGTCAACTCCATACTTACACGACAACTCAACGAGCCACCGGCCTCAGTCTTTGTAGCGAAACATCTCCCAGAAGGGAGTCGAAGTGAAGGCGAAGTCAAAAAAACCCAAAACTGGTCGGCTTCGCCAAAAAACGAAAAAGAAGGGAGCAAACCCTCGCCGTCTAGACAGACGGCGAGCGGCGGCGGCGGCGGCGGACACGGCGGCGGGTGGGTGGAGGGGAGGGAGAGGAGAGGGGAGAGGCGGGAGGCGGCGTGACGGCGGCGACAGCGTTGCTGCTGTCGTTGCTGTTGCTGCTGGTGCTGGTTGGCAGCGTGGAGGAAGAGGAGGATGGGGGAGAGGAGGTTGGGAATGGGCCAGAGCCCAAGTTGAAGAACGAGCCTGGGGGCAGGCTGTTGGTCAAAAAGGCCAAATTGGCCTGTGAGAACTCGCCTCCCGGGATCCCTGGCCCGAATTTCGGAACCAGAAACACCCCGAGGAGGCCCGCGAGATGATACGGTGGTGGTGTACGTGCGGGCATCGTTTTTTAATGTTGAAAACGATGGGTTGCAGAGAAGGAGAAGAGTGCAGGAGTCACGTTCTGGTTTTGAGTCCCACGGTGTTGACCACAACAAAGGGGAAGGAGCCCACCAGCGCTCCCAGCGGTTGGGAAGGAACATTTGTCCGGCCCATGCCCTCATCCTCATCTAAGTAGTACTCTATCACTAAAATGTTGCTCTACGTATGTCCGAGACTCCAATGCACTTGGAAACCCCATATTACCTACCTTTAAGTTCCATTCCTGCTCGACAGCATCATAAAGGAACCCCAACGAGCGTGTTGTTACATTGGTACGTAGGTACTCAACATGATCATACTAGTAGCCACTGGGCACAGTGAATGAAAAGGTGCAGCTTCCTTCCCCGCATTCACAGCCATTAGCAGGCATCAAAGCTCACAAATGACAAATTGAAGCCTGAGGACGCCGTCAAGTTTGGCAAGAATCACAGGTTGATAGCAGTTATTGGCCAGGCACTTGGGGGCGCAAATTGACTTGGCGGAAATACCTCAGGGTGCAAATGAAGACACACAGAACGTTGTGAGTGCACAAAGGAATCGAGTCTCATAAATGCAGTCTACTAGCAAGGATATTAGACACCAGCATGGCCCGTCCAACAACTAACATTTGTGAACATCTCGCAATGACTGAAGACCCGGACCAGCAGTAAAAACACAGACGCCTGCCATCTTATCAAATTGACAACAAAGAGTACAGTACTAAGCTATTATTGCATGCATGTACGTGATCACATCGTGGTTAGTGTATTGCAGGTTAGACCCACCCACACGCCGTTCGTTGTGCACCATCACCAATGATGAATTCAGGTAGCCACCAAAAGACGAAGATGTCTCTTCTCAACCACCACAGGAGCAAAAATAAGCATTAAAATACCAAAAGAATAGCAAAAACGAAAGGTCTGCCCCCTATTGGAATCGAACCAATGTTTTCAGCGGCTTGAGACAATTGCTTGACCACAAGCTGATATCCTAACCACTAGATGAAGAAGGCCTTTTTTCATGACAGGGAGCGAGATATTTGCCCCTATAGGCAGAGTGTGCATTGCCCACATGCCATGGATTACATAATCCAACACTGGAATTTGATTGCTAGTTGGGTTTGGTGGGAGAACCTACCCTTGACCAGGAGGACTTGCGAACTTGAGATGAATAAATCACAGTTGCGGTGAACACAGATACAGGATTCTAGAGGTTATTTCGACATGGAGTACATTCTCTACTGATAAACCCTGGGTACGTAGATACATGATTTTCCCGGCCTAGGTTCAAGCAGACATAGCTTAGGCAATCAATTGTCGCAAAGCAGATTCCTGTTGGCTCTCGACATCACCCAGGCGAGCAACCTCCTTGCCCTAGGAGATGGGTTAATGGAAAGATCAGAATCAATCACTAGTCTGCTTACATTTTTAATCTTCACAATTGTCGGAACGCCTTCGATGTTGTACGGCGAGCTGCGGTACTTGTTCTTTTTCGGGCATCTCCACTCCTGGAACGAGCCCACGCGGACAATGTAAGCGGTCGGTGCAGAGTCCGACCCGAAGACGTTGTTGAGAGCAGGAAGGGCGTCCCGGCAGTCTGGGCACCACGAAGGCTCGCCAGACGCAAAGTAGACGACGTAGTGAGTCTCGGTCCCCGAGGGTGGTGCTTCGGCACTGATGAGAGGCATGGTGATCAGCAAGGAGTGGGAACTGAAATGGGTGAGATGATGAGAGGTGTGCTTGTGGTTGAGTAAATATGGTCGACGTTCTAATGTGAGAGATTGAGGAGTGGAGAGAGACGATGTGCTCATCGCCGCGACAAATTGCTCAGTCATTTATGGAGCACGTTCCCCACCTAGTCATACATGCACGCAATTGTGGTAATTAATTCACATGCAGCTTCGTGTTATGTCTTACAACTTTCACTATTTCCCTCCCGGGCACTTAGCCGCAGTGCCACCAACAATCAGCTCAGCACTACAGGTACTTTTCCAAAAACCCCGCCGTGTCGATAATCGTCTGCTCCGCTGTGTAATGATCCTGCCCCGTCGCCTTGATGGCTTTGGAGCCATCGATGAACCTGGTTTCGGGGAAGGAAAACCCTGGATAATAACCCTTCCCGGGCGTTCCTGTCTTGATGATGTCGCGGCGATCGGGGAATGCCTCACGGAGCACATCGGCGGCTGCCTGTGGAGTGATGACTCCCTTTGCCAAGATGTAGCGTTCCCCGTCCGCCTTGTCGGCATGCTTGACTCCGAAGACGACGACTCTGGCAATGTCTCGGACATCGACATAACCCGGGTCGGGTGAGATGGGGGCGGGGATTTCCTGCCCAGCGAACACCTGCAAGATGAAGGCCGTCGTTTCGCTGATCTTGGAAAGAGATTCGAGTGCCACGGGCGGGCCCATGACGAAGCTGTTATGTATATCAGCGGACAAGCGCGACATCATACAATGAGGCGGGAAGACTTACGTAGGGTTGATTGCTGTCATGGTGAAAGACGGCTTGTTCTTAACGCGAAACTCCCAAAATGCGCGTTCGCTGGCGACCTTGCTCGCCAGGTAGATGAGCGGGCCGGGTGACTTCTTGCCGTGCTGCTTGACAGCTTCCAGCGATTCAGTGTTCCAATCTGCTTCGGTGAAGCGAGGGGAGTCTTCTTTCTTGTTCATAACGGCAGCAATCGAAGACATTTGGATGAAACTTTTAATCGAGCTTTCATTGAGTGCCGACTTCAGGATGCCGCGGGTTCCCTCCTCCGCGGCCTCGAGGACAGGATCTGGGTCTGTGAATTTGAAGCTGACGGGGGCAGCTAGATGAGCGATAGCGTAGACTCCTGGACAAAGCATCAGACAACATCTTGAAATCATTTGGGCGAAGATACTGACCTTTGATAGCGTCATCAAAGGCTCCCGGGGCGACAATGTCAGGTACCTCCACAATCTCAATGTCGTTGCGATATTGAGATAGCGCATCGAGAAGAGCGTTCGCGGAAGCCTTGGACCGGACAGTTCCACGGATGGCGTAGCCGGCTTTGAGAAATGCTTCAATAACTGGTCCGGCGATATAACCATTGGCACCAGTCACGAGAACAATGCGCTTCTCAGTCATGATGGAGGGAAGATGAGTATTGCCAAGATAACGTAGAGATGAACAATTTTCTAGACCTGTAAGTGGCAGAGTGTGAAGATGATGATTCTCAAACTGATGTTCTATACAATATGCTTTATAGCCTCGTCCATTCACAGTGGGCTATGGAAGGCCTTACAAGGCGTATCCAGGAACGGCAGTGTCGGCGACGGCGTTTTACTAGACTCATGCGTGTGCTGAATAACGGCAGATGGCGTTCGGAATTGTATGTAAGAAACCCGATCTCTCCAACGGACTTTGCTGACAAAATTGGTGGAGAGGAATCCAACCGGCTGTATTAGTGATCGGGATTGAGAGACCTTAACCTTGGGATTTGCATATTTCGGGTCCATGACGTGTGAAAAACCATGTTCAAGTCAGTTGAGATTTGTCCCCTCTTGAAATCCAGTGGCGTGTCATCGCCGGCCTCCCCAAACCGAGGCCAAACGCTAACTTGCGTGAGCTGTGACAGTGAGTTTCGCGACGATAGAGTGGACTGAGTCAATGTATCCTAGACAGTGCCCGAGTTAATGAAGCCTAATCATCTCTCCAAACCCTCAACATTGAAATGCGCAGCAATTGACGTTGCAATGGCCAAGTGCTGATCAAACCAGCATCCTTGTTCGTGCTGACCATTAAGCCGATGCCTGGATCCACGTGACTTCGCGACTCCATTTCCGTCAATGCGGCGCGATGACGCAACCGGTTCAGCAAGCACTACACGCAACCCAGTCCTTCACACGCGACATCTCCTGAACCGCAACGGAGGCACCCGGAGAATGTTCTGATCATGGTCGGCCGCAAACGGACCGCGACAAGGGCCAGCAGCAGACGGGGCGCTGCGGGTGCGCCGCCGACTGAACCCGATGTCTACCGGGACATGCTGGCCGAGGTTGGCGTGAATGCCCAGGATCGCAGCCCTCCGGAACGGCCACTGAAACGGCGTCGCGCTGGTACAAAGCCGTCGGTGAAAGAAAACCTGGAGGAAAAGCCCCCGGCGTCAACCTCCGCAGTGGCGCAAGGCGGCCAGGCAACACATGATTCCGAAGACGAATCCGCGGATGAGGATATCGAGTTCCAGGATGTTGTTTTGCCAGAACCCACCATTCAAACCATGGAACTGGAGTCCGACAAAGAAGAAGAAGACGAAGACATCATCTTTGAAGATGTCAATTTCGGCGCACTCCCCGATGATACGGCTGCCGTCCAAGAACCGAAGGAGTTAGTGCTCAACCTGACGGCCCAACAGACGGCAACAGCGCAGTCAAAGAAGGCCGCAGAAAGACGAAAACCTCTCAACAAAGAGGAGCGAGAACGTCGAGCTGATATCCACAAAGCGCATATTATTTGTCTTCTCGCACATGTTGCACGTCGCAATCACTGGTGCAATGATGATCGGGTGCAAGAGCATTTACGGCCGCATCTGACTGACAAGATTGCTTCGTACCTGAACCCTGGGATCCATCTCTCCCAGTTTGGACGAACTGAGAGCCTCAAGAACGGGTTGAAACAGGCTGAGGGGGTCTGGACAGGGAAGTTTGAAGTCGTCGAGAGGGGCCTCAGAAGGGCGCTGTGGGCGGAGGAGCCGGATCATTTAAGAGAGGTATGTATGCGGTTCTCTCGGGGGATTCTGCTAACCTGAGTAGTATGAACCTCCTAGTGACATGGAGTCGTGTCTCGACCGTGACGACTTTCGTGAGGCGGCCAAGAAGCTTCAAGGATCCAGAGATGTTGGTGCGCAGTTGTATTGTGCCCTTCTCCGGAGCGTAGGAGTGCGAGCACGGCTGGTGTGCTCACTCCAACCGCTGGCCTGTACCTCTAGTGCTCCCACACTCTCCAAACCCAAACCAGCCCAAGGGACATCGAAGACAATGAAGAATGAACAAGTGCGAACCATGATAGCGAAGTACCAGGAGATGGCGAGTGCGGGTTATGGCACGCCCTCCAGCGGCTCGACTGCTCGTCGAAGACTGGGTCATCCCAATGCAACAGCACACGACTTTGAGCCAAGGACTGCTCCACCAAAACCTCGTCCTACATTCGAAATGCCAAAAATCATTAAAGAGTCCGCATGCCCTGTGTACTGGGTTGAAATTCTCGATGTTGGACATCAGAAGTGGCAACCCGTCGACCCGTTGGTTACCCACACATTCTGGAAGCCCAAGGTACTGGAACCACCTATAACGGATAAAGAGAACTCCTTGTCTTATGTGGTGGCTTTCGAGGCCGACGGAAGTGCGCGAGATGTGACGAGGAGGTATGCCAAGGCGTACACAGCCAAAACTCGCAAGCTGCGCGTGGAGGTCGCGACTGAAGGGGGTGACGTGTGGTGGCAGAAGGTAATGAATATGTATCGTCGGCGACGGCCGACTGATCTCGACCAGATTGAGAATCACGAATTTGCTGGTGTTGAGGCAAGAGAGCCGATGCCGCGAAACGTACAGGATTTCAAGGACCACCCGATTTACGCTTTAGAACGACATCTACGACGTCACGAGGTGCTAGTACCGGGTGCTACGCCTTCGGGGACTGTCGGCGCTGGGAGCCGAGGCCCTCTGGAAAAAATATACCGTCGCAGAGATGTGCGGATTTCTAGAACCGCAGACAAATGGTACAGGTTAGGACGCGAGGTCAAACCAAACGAAATCCCGGCGAAGTGGCTCCCAAAAAAGGCTCGGCCCAAGTCTCGATATGACGAGGAGGAAGATGATGACACACAAGGCGACGCAGGCACACCAGCCTACACCGAAGATCAGACAGAACTCTACGTCCCACCACCAGTACGGAATGGCCGTGTGCCAAAGAACAAGTTCGGCAACATCGATGTCTATGTTCCAAGCATGGTCCCCCCTGGTGGCGTTCATATCATCCATGAATACGCCGCGA